TACCTGGTAAAATAAAGTTTAAATAAATGACATAAATGCTCTAATAGTACACGTAAGTTAGTGGTTTATTTATTAGGTCAGCGTTCACGGTTCGACTTCTGATATTCAGATCGAGTTCTAGGTCAAACTGGTTTGTTCGACTTTCAAGAAATTCGAGTTCTAGTGAGTTCGAGAACCGAGGTACCACTGTACCAGGTTCAAGTATGGTAGGATATTTTTGACAAGACAAGACAAAGACGTGCCAGTTAAGTGCAAATTTGGCAGTGTTGAAAGTCCAGTTTGTAATGTTTGTGTTGTGGGTTTCAACATTCCTTTGGTGGCAGTGCGTTGAGAGCTCTGACTGCTTGAGGAAAGAAGCTCTTGCAGTGTCTGGCAGTTACAGTTCTGATGCTGCGGAACCATCTACCAGACGGAAGGAGAGAGAACTGCATGTGAGGGGTGGGAAGTGTCCTTCACTATGCTGTTCGCATGATGGATGATGTGCTTTTCGTAAAGGTGGGAGACAGCAGGGAGAGGAACCACGATGATACTCTCTGCTGTCCTCACTATCCGCTGCAGGGACGTCTTTTCAGCGGTGGTGCAGTTTCCATACCAGGCAGTGATGTAGCAGCAGAGGACACTCTCGATGGTCCCCTGGTAGAATGATGTGAGGATGGGAGGAGGGAGGCTGGCCTTCTTCAGCTTCCGAAGGAAGTGAAGACGTTGTTGGGCTTTCTTTGTGATGATGGTGGTGTTCAGGTTCCAGGAAAGGTCGTCTGCCATGTGCACACCCAGGAACTTCACACTGCTGACTATTTCGACAGCGGAATCGTTGATGTGCAGTGGGATGTGGGCTGCCGGGCTCTTCCTGAAGTTAACAACCATCTCTTTAGTCTTCTGAATATTAAGAGACAGGTTGTTATTTTCACACCAGTCCACCAGGTGTTTTACCTCCTCTCTGTACTCAGACTCATCGTTATTTGTGATGAGACCTACTACTGTTGTGTCATCTGCAAACTTTATGATGTGATTTGAACTGTACTGAGCAGCACAGCACAGCACACTGTCATTCCTAGATCTAAGGTGTACCAAGCTAGCAAGCCTCAAAAAAGGTCCAGAAAGGTCAGGAAAAAAGGTGTCTTGAAATACCCCCTTCCATGATTTCAGCTCCATGGTGGATGCAGTAAGAGAAACCTTGTCAGACTTTAACAAAAAAGTTTGTACTGATGAGCAGAGAGAGCGGGGCATTCTGTTTAAATTCTACATGTCATGGTACTGAAACTCGCCCTCTGTGTTTATAAGATCTGCAGTATACGATGGCATGAGGACACCAAGAACTTGGCAATTTGGCTTCTGATGGAGAGAAAATGGGGCCACAGGGCCTAGGTTTGCACTCTCAGAAAAAACGGTATAGCCTTGGTGCAGTTTTGGTCCCTAAAGTACAAACAAGATTACTGTACCCCCAATGGTACCGAAGTGTTCCTCAGCATCCATTTCTGTGCCCGAAATTCGTCTAAAAGGTACATTTACCTACAGGTAAGGGTACAATTGGCAGACTCTTGAGGGTAAGGCCCCAGTGACAAGTAACTGTACTCTCAAAGGTAGGAATTGGTACTGTTTCTCTGATAGTGTGTCTTCTCCTGAGAATCAGAGCAGAAGCTACATTATCAGTGAAAAACCCAAGTCAGTATATATTAATGTTATATCAGGGACCAGCACAGACAATTTTTATGGGTTTTAAGTTTTATTGTAGCATTGATGTACAACTCCTCTGACAGCCAAAAATGCAGAACAAACTAACCCTCTATGAAATACAAACTGTTTACATTATGTGTGGATAATTTAAAAGGCTTTTATTCATAGTTCGATGCATATGGCTTGAAGGTTTTGTTTGATTCATCCAGGGCACCAGTGTGGTCAAAGGACTCTAGTTTGATGAGAGGTGCAATATTATTTCTTGACAGAAATTTGAAACTGTGGGATTGTTGGGGGGGGGACACTGTAGAAGTGAGAGGAACAAGGGGTCAGGGTCAGCCCTAGAGCAATAGGGGTTAAGGGCATTGCTCATGGGCCTAGCAGTGATACGATTATTCTGCCCACCATGGGTTTTGAACTCATGACCTTCCGAATACAGGCAGAGGTCCCTAACTACACCCTATCCTATGCACCTGCATTTGCATTTTATATGTTTATATTTATATGATTACACAGTATATTTCTTGGTTATGGTAGAAATCTAGTTCATGTCATGAGAGAGTTTGAATTATATAAAAAGGAATAGTTGATGCCAGGTATATGGTCTAAGTGGTAAATTAAGAGACTGTGGTAACTGATTGTGGAAACGGTTTGGCCTGGTTGTTTATGGAGGGCAGGTTATGTCATTCTGAGGCCGGCTGCCTTAGGCTGTGGACTGAACCCTCATGCCGTAACTGAAGTGTGCCAGCCTTGGGTGTTGGTTTGTTTGTAATTCTGCCTGCTCCCTTTTTTCCATCCCACTACTTATCTTTTCATTGAGTTCATTCTGCTTCTTGACAGAAAAATTCCCTTCGGAATTACAGTACTTTTTAACCAGGACGCTAAGGTTTAGGATAGTATTAGGGCTTTCTTATCAGTAGAATTTCTTATTGAAATTTGTATCAATGGAATTACATATGTGGTCCATACACAGTGGGATGTAACCGACTGTTATTGTTTTCTTCCTTCTGCCCAATGATGTGCAGTTTAGCATACTGATGTCTCTAAAACGCACTTGGAGTGTGTGATAGAGTGTGCTAGTGTGCCTTCTCTCTAGGGTGCATGCTTGCCTTGGGCCCTGTGCTGCCCAGAATGAGCTCACCGCTACCCTCTACTGCATAAGCGCTTATGAAATATGGATGGCCTCACGATGTACTACAGCAAATAATATAAATATGAGATCATTTTGTTTCGAACTGTAGGGGCATGTCCTTTAGCTGCGCCATCAAATTAAAACCAGAAACCCCCTGATAATCTTCAATCTTTGCCAAGCATCCTAGTGTACGTGACAATTTACTGGCACTCTGAGTAAATTAACACTCAAAAAAACAAATGCTTCTACCACTGTACTGTTGTGAGATTGGAAAATAAGCTCTGTGTTTGATACTACATGGTTTAGCAGATCAAAAAAGTCCTTTGTATGGTATTTGGCTGTATAATTTCCTCATTTATGTTCTCTGGATCCTCATGACAATTTTTTTCAGTAATTATTTCTACTTTCACACAGTGACTAACAGCATCTGCCTCAAATTTAGGAAACGGCTCCCCATCATTCTATATTTTCTGTAATTGCTTAAATCAGATTCTATTGTTAAATCAGTATCTCTTGTGAAGCTTCTCTTTTTCATTGTTAATTGTGAATCAGTAATTGTTTAATATTCTTTGTATAAAATTGAAGTGTCTTTGAAAATACATCCTGTATCTCACCAAAGATCCAAGAGTAGAGTCAGCCAACATCACTGAAGCAAGTGGGATTAAGGATTAAGGGCCTCATTCTAAGGTCCAACAGTGATATGGCTCCTTTCAGACATACAGAGTGGAGCAGACATCTAGGCTTAATAATTAAATAGCCAGCGTAGCATGTATTTCTTGACTTCCTCCATAATATCTCTC